AAATGAAAAAAAAAATATAACTTTTCTGTTTTTTAATTTTTTGTTTAGTTCTTCGACATTTAGTAATGGTTAAATATTTCCAATTTACGGTTTAAGTTTCATCAAAGTCGGACGACTATATCATATAGCTCCCATAGGAACAATAAAAATATATAAAATAACTATCAAATAATTGAGCTGCAAGTCATCATAGCTTCAATGTTTTTAAACTTATACGCAAGTAAATTATAATTTTAATGTTTTCAAAAATGTTTAATTCTTGCAATAGCTGCAAGGGTATATGAACTTCGGCTTGCCGAAGTTTGCTTTCTTTCTTGTTCAGTTTCGCCTCGGTAGAAAAGTTGCTTTACGCAGAAGCCGACCGCATGCTCAAGCTTGGGGTTATTGAAGGTCAAGAAGTCTACCGAAGAAACTTTAAGCAAAGCAATTTCGCAGCTGGATACAATGCGAAGTTGGGCCCAGATTTTGTAAAAGCAAGGATCAGGAAGAGGGTGGGTAAAGTTTGTTTACGAATTGGAGGATTTTCAAGGACGATATGTGGGTAGGATATTAAGCAGTAGTTTCGTAAGCGCGGGATTTATCATCCTTGGAGTGTCAAACTCCAAGTCTGCTTTTGATGGGGGGTAATTTCTGTAGCGCTTGCTCTAAAAATAAAAGAAAGGAAAAGATATGTTTATGGCTCCATCTAGAAATGGAATTTTAGGTACTATTAGCGCCATCTAGAACTCGGGCGTAGAATGTTCTGGCAGGGGTGAAAAGTCGTAAGGAAATCAACAGAAATCAATCGAGCGCACATCAAACCCAAGCGCACATCAAACCCAAGCGCACATCAAACCGAAGCGCACATCGAACCCAGCGCAACCCATTTGAAATTGGCAATTACAGGCATTTAATTGTGTAGAAGTTGTGTAAAAGTTTAACGGGCATACGGCCCTAGCCTTATCTCTAGCGAGCGAGCTGAGCGCCGCTCGTATGTAAAAGCAAACGCACACCCACACCGTAAACGCACAAAGCAAAGTAGTTAAAACTACCAATGTCGTAAGTTCGACAGCTAAGGGGAGATGTTCGATAGAGCGCAGCTTTAGTTTCGTTTCCCCTCTAATTCGCGTATGACGTCGGCGTTCTGCTCTAAACAGAGGCAGGTAAACCTTGAATTGGCATCGAGTTTGGGCCAAATAATGCTGCAAAAATACCCGGAAAGCTTGTACACGGAAAACGTCCCAAGAGGGAAAAGTGATGATCTAGCCCAGAAAATTGGAATCCAATATTTAAGTGATGATTTTTGTTAAGGTTAATTTATTAGTTAATCAAGTTTTTTTTTCTATTAATTGTTAAATATGGCAGTGGCGGGGCGAATATCAATCTAGAAAACCATAAATTGTGGGAAAAAAGTGCAGAGCGGTGTGAGGTGTTGCAGCAAAGTTGATTTTTTTGTTCTTTTTATTGTGTACATTAATTCTTAACCCCCATAGCTCATCGCATCCCGAGGAAAGCGCTTTCCTCGATGGATTGCATTAATTATTGGTGAGTGAGAAAATCCAATTTGAATTCTGTATCATACAGAAAAATATATATCATTGTGTCCAAAGTAAAGTAAATATAATATTTTAACCTCAAACGTCGAGAGAATGAGCAGAAAGAAAAATGAGTGAAATTTTTTTTTGAAAAAAAAAAAAAACTTAATTTTGATTACGACTCAATCGCACGGGATAATTGTTCTGCAGTCGTACCTTTTTGTTCGTTTTAAATTAATTCCCTTAAAAGCGGATTAAATTCCACTTACCATTGGCCAAAATTTTGATTTTTAATTAAGAAAAAGAAAGGAATATTTACAATTTAATTTATGCATTTCTCACCTTTAATATTTATACTCTCTAATTTATATATTAAGTTATATGTCGTATTTATACATGTCCATAAGTAAATCTATTATTATATCTAGTTCTAAGAATGATTTTAGCCCTTAATAAACTTTTATAATGTTTTAAGAAATTATGAAACTGGCCGCAGCTAGCGATATGCAAATGTAGGGTAGCGCTTAAGAAAAGGGGTCGCTCAGGCTATTGAGCAGGTGGATGGAGCGACCAAAGAAAGGGTGGGCTCGATTAGGCCTTCATAACATCTAAGGAGGCGAAAAAGGGAATTCAGCAGCATTAGGGTATTTTCTCTCTTCCAGCAGCAATAATTATATGTGTGTCTCTATCTTTTCCGGTTCATTGTCGTTGCACGCGATTATTAGAGCAACATTATTGATAGGCAAACGTGTACACAAGCAAGACCACCACAGCCTTAGCCGACGAGCCGCCAGTCGGACAACTATTCCGCGTGCGCTTGTGTTTCACCTTCAACATCTCGCCTGAAGTAATTTTGCAAGTAGACTTGGCAAATACAGGCACCAACCCAATCCAAAGTAATTTTCTAATAGAGGTAAATAACGCCATCCACCCTACGCGTAAGCTGCAGACTCAACTCCTTACATTTAGGATAATATGCGAATACAGAACGGTGTCTGGACCACCAGCACTGGTCACCATGGGAATTATACCGATTGATCTATTAACTAGAGAATGCAAAAAGTTTATATGTGTTATTTTTTGTTAAAATCTAGAGTCTACTTCTACTAAAAGAAATAAAGTTCAAAATGCACTAAACATTTCATTTGACCAATATCTTAAAACCGACTTATTTTATAAGACTTAATGCAAAGGTACACATATTTACGAAAACAATGGAAATAAAATTGGCATTATTATTTAATTTAAAAAAAAATATTTTTTTATTTAACCCCGACTCGAACTCGAACCATTGACATATTGACAAACCGCTTCGTAAGCCGGAACCCTATCAATCGACTATGTTCGAAAACCGAATCGAACCTAAGCCAATTTGAAATTGGCTTACAGCCCTGCTTAGAATAGTCAAGGAACCCAATGCTAAGAAATTTATCCATGATGTCTCTCACTGCCCTGGACACAATCTGCCGTATGTTTTATAACTGAGGGATGGACTTCGTTGAGCAAAGAGAGCTATGTGGCAGTGATATCTCACTTTATTAACAAGGTATCGACCAAATTGCATTCACATGTTGCAGCTTGTGATTCATTTATTAAAAGGCATATCAGTAAAAACTCGGTGCGTTTATTAAAACAATGTTGCTGTTGATTGGGGTGTTGAGGATAAAATGTATGGAATTACGTCCGACAACGCCGCTAATATAGTGGGAGCAGTTAAGCTTGGAAACTGGCGTCTTACCTACCTTTGCCCATATCAGCGTAAAAAAGTCAAAGCAATCGTGGTAATTTTAATCGCAGCGCAATTGGTCTCAAAAAATTAAAGGAAACTCAACGGCAATTGAATCTGCCGATACAAACTCATTGGAACTCAACATTTAAAATGTTTGAGTGATTGGTTACATTATTGAAAGAGGCAGTCATGGTTGCAATGTCAATTCTTCGACCAGACTTGGTGTTTAATCACGAAAACTGGCAAGAGTTTAATATGTGTTACCAGTACTGAAACCGTTTTATAAGGAAACTGTAGAAAAATCTTCTGAAAAAAATGTCTTCCATAAATGTAGATGGAACATTGTACAACACTGCATTACAGCGATTATGTTTGCTAGCAACGTCTGTTCCTTGCGAAAGATTTTTTCTGCAGTTGGCAAAATAGTTACAAAGATGCGATCTCTGTTAAATCCAAATTCGGTAGCCTTATGTTTCTTTACAAAATAATATGTAGATGCAAAGGTAGGAACTTTTCATTTTTATATCAGTTTCATAATTGAATCAATAAAATATTTTCAGCTCTCGAAATGGGCTGATATATCTTAAACTAAATGAGAAACCCTTAAAACGTCGTATTGAAAAAACGGTCCAACTTCAATTCTTTTTTTCTGTTCCTTATATTACTTTACTTTGTTTATGATCTCAAAAAATACGCAATTTGAGATGTTAATAACAATATAGGCCATAAAAGAAAAAAATGTTCAGCAAGTGAATCTTGTGAGCAAACTTGATCTACTAAATAACTGAGTAATTAAACAACTGAACAAATGAGCAACTGAACAACTGAACAACTAAGCAACTGAAAATGTAAGCAACTGAGCAACTCAACAAGTGAGTGAACAAAGTTAGTGAGTTTGTTCACTCAATAAAAAGTGAGCAACTGAACTTGCTCTCCCAAGTAAGCGAGTTTACCCAACACAAGTTTCTATCAAAGATTATACAATACAAACATGCGAAATCTCATACATAGCTTTGAAGATTAATGATGGAGGGAAAGCGGAAGAAGGGAGAGAGATTATATTTTTAGAAATCGTTTAAAGCCCAGTCGGAAGTTAGAGAACGCATTCCAATAAAAAAAGCTTCTTTCATGCATGTTTTGCAAGAGAAAAAGAATGTAAGAAGCTATAAAGAAGCATTTTTTATGCATTCTAAAGATTTTTTGTGAAATCGTCCCTTCTACTACAATGCATAAAAAAGCCTTCTTTTACAATGTAAAAAAAAAACTGAAACCCGAACGATGCCGATCGTCCGATATTTTTGAGATTGTGTTTTTCACCGAAAACCTCGCTTACCAAAGAACGCAAAAAGAAGTCTTGTTTCGGAATGGACAAAAAAATGGGAAACCAATTTAATCTATTTTTCTTAATGAACAAAAAAATGGGAAACCAATTTAATCTATTTTTCTTAATGAACAGCAGCGACGTAAATATATTCACTTTTTATCTTTATAAACAATATCTGAACGCTTTGTTATGTTTGTGGTATATGACTTGTTAAACTTTTCCTAAATCTAATTCTGTAAAAAATATTAATATTTAATTTTATTAATAATAATATTTATTGTATATAGTATTAGAAAATTATTAATTTGAATCAGTTTTTTATATATTTTAATTTTAGGTAATAATATATACACGATTACATGATTTTTTTTCAAAGCGTGATTTTGTTTTGAATTATTATATTACATTTGCCGGCGCTATAGTTTCCTCCGCCACTGTATTCACAAGGAGTAACCGAACAAAACGGTACTCTAAAAAGCAAACGACAAGAACAAAAGAGAAAATGCAAGAAAGCGCGAGGTCTTTTTCGTTTCTTTTGCATTTCTCGCCACTTGATTTTCAATTGGAATAGCTGGTACCTCTGGGATTTGTGAAATTAATATATTCTTTGCGGCTTTAATTTTCAAGTAAGTATAATGTTGATATAAACAAACTAAATAGGAGTTCCAATACTGTTAATAAAATAACATGAACCAAACACTGTATTAATTAAAACAATAAGTGATGTGTACCTGTGCCAAAAAAATATTAAATTTATAAACATTTATTAACAGTCTTGAAAACAGCGTACGGTCAAAACAAATGTAAACAAATTGTTCCTAAAACTGTGTGTGTGGCTCTTAATCAAACAAATAAAAAGAATTATTTTTTTTGAGCGTACACTGCAATAAGACTTGCGTTTTAATTTAATTAATGCGTTTTTAATATTATTTTCGTTTGATTCCAGGAAAACTATTTCAAGACAAAAGGTAATTTATATATTATTTGTGTGCTCTCTTTTTTCTCTCTTCCTTGTACTTCTACCTATGGTGGACTTACATCTACGTACAAGTTGTGTTTTTTAGGGTGGACCTAAGGACACAAATTAAGTGAACAAAAATTTAAGAAAAATAAACCTAAATTTAAATAAACATTAAACATTACATAAATAAAAAATTTAATAATTTAATTGAAAAAAAAATATTTTACAAAATAAACAAAATTAATATAATTTAAAATGAGGAGAATGTCGCGGTCAAATATTCACCGTTTAAGAAGAGCTTCATCAATCGGCTGCTAGAGCTCTTACTTTTGATACAGAAAATAATTCTGGAAATGAATGCCCAAATTTATGTGAACCCGAATCGGATAAAAGTGCATCAAACTATTCTTTTGAGTATGATACCTATGTAAAATTATTGGAATGGTACCATAATAATAATGTTACTAGAGTTCAACTTGATGCACTTTTAAAAACTTTTGAATTCGGAAAATCTAGATCTTCAGTAGGATATTAAGTCCAAGTTTGATAATGGAGCTTTATTATGGCGGTACTAGGGACAGGGAAGGTTTTGCGTCCTACATTCATTTAAATTAAGCATTATTCGGTAAGTGTTTTACAAACTTACAATCATATTTTAAAAAAAATACATATTTCCTTCTCATTATTATATTTTATATTATATTTTCTCATTATTATATCACAAAGGAGGGACGGCTACCACTTAACCGACCACATAAAAGACCTTTGACTGGCCTTCACTAGGGCTAAGAACAAAATTTACAAGGCTAAAAGTATAGCAGAAAGGATGAGAAAAGAAAATAACGACCCGGAGTAATTATAGTAATTATAATTAATTACAATAAATTTAAAATCAAACGTTTATAAAAAAAAATGAAATAAATAAAAATTGGAATTGAAAAAAAAAACGGTTTCCAATAGCTTTTTTGGGAACGATAATATTTGCATTCTTGGGTAAGACTATTAGAAGGCATGTTTTGGAATCATACTAAATGTGTTCTTGTGGAAGGGATCAATATTCATTCTTTACATGTGTTACGCAATGCTTGCTTTGGAACCTATCCAGGAAGGTTCCCGAGGAACGTTTCTATGTTCATTCTAACAGTGCGCTGTAGAATGCTTCCTTCGTAAAGTACAAATGGAAGGGAAACCCGAGCGTTTCCGAAGTTGAAACTACCTTCCAATCGAACGCATTAAGACTCGTTCTTAAATCGGTTCTAAAAGAAGACTTGCTTTTTGTCCCGTCTCGAACAAAAAGGAAAGGGAGCTTTCAGGGATCTGGAATGCGTCGAAAGTTTAAAGTTTTAAACATATTTATGCCTTTCTTAAAGAAAATTACGGTTTGTCCTTTAATTTTTATACCCTTATTATAATCCAGTCACAAGTTTACCACGCAGTGAAGGAGACATTTCCTTATTTAACTTTCATGTTGGGTGCAGTGTTACCTTCTTTATTTCAGTAGGAAAGAGCGACTACCCGGGCTTGTCAGCAATTCAACAAAATTTTCAGCGGCCTCTGGGTTGTTGAAATGCTGAAATTTTGAAAAGGTTCGGGAATATCCAGAATGATTATTTTTGATTTATATTTTTTTGCTCAAAAGTAATCATTATTCTTGATAAAAAAAAATAAAAGTCAAATAAAATTATGTTAAGGTTTTTCTAGGCGTAAAAGGACTTCCATTCTTCGATATTGTTTTAAAGATATAAACACTATTACAGCTCCTTTAGAAATGTGTGAGAAATTCAGATTTATTTTGAAGAACCTCCAACTTTGCAGTCAATTTTAAAAATTCAAAGCCTTAGCGCACCAAATTCGGAAGATGTAATCTCAATTTCAACTTTTAAAGAGAATATTTTAGTTAAAGGGGACGAAATATGACTCTCTCATTTTTTTGGATCGCTCCCAATTAACTCATTCGCATCGTACACAAAATCTGAACAACAATGATCTGCATTTTTTACACAGGAATAAGAAGCAAATAATAATCATGCTGATCGAACCGAAGCGAGACGATGAATTGAAAGCACAAAAAAGCAAAATAATGCATCGAGCCTGCTTGCTCTCAGAATTTTTATTTCGGGTATGCATCACATACGATCTCGTTACTGCCGAGTGCGTTGAGTTAAATTGAGCGAAATTTCGTCATGGTGATCTAGTTGACTCGATCTTACTCGTGTTAGAACTCTGGTGATGACGGCATTAGGTGTAGTTTAAGGAGTGGTTACAAAGGAAAAATTAGACTTAGGTTCACTTATTACTTGGGGAAAAAAATTTTTATTTTTATTTTATTTTATTTTAATTCGACTTCATTAAAACTTAATGACTTAATCTCTGAACTGCTGAAATTCAGTCAGCGGTTCGTAAGCTGTTCCATTGAAATTTTAGCAGTTCAGCAGACCAAAGGCTGCTAAAAAATGAGGAACTGCTGAAAAGCCACGATAGTGGCTCTGTTATAATAAAATGAATAAGGCAACACAGGTCCCAACATGAAAGTTACCACAAAAAATATGCAAATAATATACATAGTTAAGTTTAGTCGTTTTGGAGAATATCCAAAGTATAAGTTGTTTGCGTACGTTTTCCATTACTAGAAATGCAGTATTACAAGGCGGCCATGCCTATTGAAAGTAATCCAAGTTGTAATCCATTCTCCTGATTTCTGGAGGTAAAGTAATGCATTCGTAATCGTAGGGTAAGTGAACATTATACGATTTTCGCCTCCTCCCTTCCCGTCGGTCACACAAGAGCTGTCTCTTGTCGCGTCTTGAATTATTTAAACACGAAGATTACAATGTGTGAATGGAAACAACCTTGTGTAAAATCTGATATTTCAACTTTGACAGCATATTTCAAAGACCGAATTGGGGACTATTCAACTGTCTTAAGTTGGTTGAGTATCTGAAAAGCCGAATGGTCGCCATTTCTACTAATTTTTAAAAGGCAACACAGGTCCCAACATAAAAGTATTCAAGTATACAAATATATGCAAACAAAGAAATTTAGACAGTTCGTTGCTTAATGTAACATTCTAAACATCTTTGTTTGCTTATACCAAATAGTTCCTACAATTCACGTAAAAGCTAAGTCGAGCAATGCTAGAACAATTGACTAGTAGCTGTTGTTGAATATTCAACAGTTTAAAGATTCAGACATTTAAGGAACATCCAAAATATTCAACATATTGTTTCGATTGAAAACTACTTTTCTGAAAAGTTTTCGGATTTAAAAAATGTACTTTGAGTTATTTTTCGAAAAAATTGTTCATAGTATTGACAATCAAAATCTGTTGCAAAAGTGAGAGTCTGAGAGACATGTCTTCCATAAATGTAGATGGAACATTGTACAACACTGCATTACAGCGATTATGTTTGCTAGCAACGTCTGTTCCTTGCGAAAGATTTTTTCTGCAGTTGGCAAAGTAGTTACAAAGATGCGATCTCTGTTAAATCCAAATTCGGTAGCCTTATGTTTCTTTACAAAATAATATGTAGATGCAAAGGTAGGAACTTTTCATTTTTATATCAGTTTCATAATTGAATCAATAAAATATTTTCAGCTCTCGAAATGGGCTGATATATCTTAAACTAAATGAGAAACCCTTAAAACGTCGTATTGAAAAAACGGTCCAACTTCAATTCTTTTTTTCTGTTCCTTATATTACTTTACTTTGTTTATGATCTCAAAAAATACGCAATTTGAGATGTTAATAACAATATAGGCCATAAAAGAAAAAAATGTTCAGCAAGTGAATCTTGTGAGCAAACTTGATCTACTAAATAACTGAGTAATTAAACAACTGAACAAATGAGCAACTGAACAACTGAACAACTAAGTAACTGAAAATGTAAGCAACTGAGCAACTCAACAAGTGAGTGAACAAAGTTAGTGAGTTTGTTCACTCAATAAAAAGTGAGCAACTGAACTTGCTCTCCCAAGTAAGCGAGTTTACCCAACACAAGTTTCTATCAAAGATTATACAATACAAACATGCGAAATCTCATACATAGCTTTGAAGATTAATGATGGAGGGAAAGCGGAAGAAGGGAGAGAGATTATATTTTTAGAAATCGTTTAAAGCCCAGTCGGAAGTTATAGAACGCATTCCAATAAAAAAAGCTTCTTTCATGCATGTTTTGCAAGAGAAAAAGAATGTAAGAAGCTATAAAGAAGCATTTTTTATGCATTCTAAAGAGTTTTTGTGAAATCGTCCCTTCTACTACAATGCATAAAAAAGCCTTCTTTTACAATGTAAAAAAAAACTGAAACCCGAACGATGCCGATCGTCCGATATTTTTAAGATTGTGTTTTTCACCGAAAACCTCGCTTACCAAAGAACGCAAAAAGAAGTCTTGTTTCGGAATGGACAAAAAAATGGGAAACCAATTTAATCTATTTTTCTTAATGAACAGCAGCGACGTAAATATATTCACTTTTTATCTTTATAAACAATATCTGAACGCTTTGTTATGTTTGTGGTATATGACTTGTTAAACTTTTCCTAAATCTAATTCTGTAAAAAATATTAATATTTAATTTTATTAATAATAATATTTATTGTATATAGTATTAGAAAATTATTAATTTGAATCAGTTTTTTATATATTTTAATTTTAGGTAATAATATATACACGATTACATGATTTTTTTTCAAAGCGTGATTTTATTTTGAATTATTATATTTCATTTGCCGGCGCTATAGTTTCCTCCGCCACTGTATTCACAAGGAGTAACCGAACAAAACGGTACTCTAAAAAGCAAACGACAAGAACAAAAGAGAAAATGAAAGAAAGCGCGAGGTCTTTTTCGTTTCTTTTGCATTTCTCGCCACTTGATTTTCAATTGGAATAGCTGGTACCTCTGGGATTTGTGAAATTAATATATTCTTTGCGGCTTTAATTTTCAAGTAAGTATAATGTTGATATAAACAAACTAAATAGGAGTTCCAATACTGTTAATAAAATAACATGAACCAAACACTGTATTAATTAAAACAATAAGTGATGTGTACCTGTGCCAAAAAAATATTAAATTTATAAACATTTATTAACAGTCTTCAAAACAGCGTACGGTCAAAACAAATGTAAACAAATTGTTCCTAAAACTGTGTGTGTGGCTCTTAATCAAACAAATAAAAAGAATTATTTTTTTTGAGCGTACACTGCAATAAGACTTGCGTTTTAATTTAATTAATGCGTTTTTAATATTATTTTCGTTTGATTCCAGGAAAACTATTTCAAGACAAAAGGTAATTTATATATTATTTGTGTGCTCTCTTTTTTCTCTCTTCCTTATACTTCTACCTAGGGTGGACTTACATCTACGTACAAGTTGTGTTTTTTAGGGTGGACCTAAGGACACAAATTAAGTGAACAAAAATTTAAGAAAAATAAACCTAAATTTAAATAAACATTAAACATTACATAAATAAAAAATTTAATAATTTAATTGAAAAAAAAATATTTTACAAAATAAACAAAATTAATATAATTTAAAATGAGGAGAATGTCGCGGTCAAATATTCACCGTTTAAGAAGAGCTTCATCAATCGGCTGCTAGAGCTCTTACTTTTGATACAGAAAATAATTCTGGAAATGAATGCCCAAATTTATGTGAACCCGAATCGGATAAAAGTGCATCAAACTATTCTTTTGAGTATGATACCTATGTAAAATTATTGGAATGGTACCATAATAATAATGTTACTAGAGTTCAACTTGATGCACTTTTAAAAACTTTTGAATTCGGAAAATCTAGATCTTCAGTAGGATATTAAGTCCAAGTTTGATAATGGAGCTTAATTATGGCGGTACTAGGGACAGGGAAGGTT